GGCAAATCCTAGCAGACTGAGACAAATGTCTACAACATATATGACAGGCAAAGGACTAATAACATCCTTAATCTACATAGAACTCTTAGAATCTGAGAAAACAAAAGAATACCTCAGTGAAAAATGACAAAAATAAAATATAAATGGACTAATAAGCCTAAAAATATCTTCAACTTTGTTAGTCATCAAAGAATTGCATATAAAAGTATAATAGTCTTTTGCTTTTTCACTTGTAAGATTTAACAAAAGTATAGAGATTGTTAAAGCAGTTTTAGCAAGGACGTAAGAAACATATTCTCATGCACTGTTGGTGGGAATTATATCAAAATATAAAGTATGCCTGTTCTTTGTCCATTCATCCCACCCACTCTTAGGAATTTGCCCTAAAGTGATCATCTTAAAAGTGTTAAAAGATATGTGCACAAAGATACTCATCAAAAATTAGAAAACACTTACGTGACCACCAAGAGTATTTGACAAATACTGTTGTTAATGTATATAAATTATGTCACATATAAACAACAGAACAGTTTTCAGACAGGAATCTTGGAGTCGAATTTCTGATCTAAAGACTGTGATTGTCTGTATCTCTCAGGAATTTGGGTTCCACACTTCAGGTGGAATGAAATAGAGTTCTTGTAGAGAAGTGCTGTCAGAATAGTAGCCACCACGAATGGAGGTGCCTCATGTAGCTGGGTCAAATTAGCAGCATTGACATTTAATGATATATATAATCTCTCTCATATATTATGTCCAGGACCAATGGGTAGAAGTTAGAAGGAGTCAGACTTTGGCCGACTATGTAGTTCAAAGTCTATCTGTTTGTACTATTGAATAATAACTGAATAAGAAGTTTCTCATTGTTGCAAGTGTTCAAGCAGGGGCTGGAGGGAGCTTCAGGTCTCAACTTTTATATCACCCCATCAAGATGCCTTTCTTGACCATCCTGCCTGAAATAGCACACACATACCTTCGGCACTCTTTCCCTCTTACTTTGCTTTATTTTTTCTTTATTTGAAAAAGGCCAGAAATTGTATATTATCTGGTGTCTCTTGTTGCCCTCTGCACCATCCGACATATATTTATGTTTGTTTATTGTTTTTCTTTCCCCTTAGAAAGTAAGCTCCATATCAGCAGAGACTTTGCTATTTCATTCTTTGCTCTAGATCACCAGTGCCTAGAACTAGGGTTGGTATATGGCAGTGTGCAGTAAGTATTTGTTGAATGAATGAGTATTGGAGAAAGGGATTCATGCATTCAACTTCGTGGATCTCTTCTGCTTTACATTATTAGGGACTTTTAATTTTTTTTTTTTTTAATTTTTTTTTTTTCCACGTTTATTTATTTTTGGGACAGAGAGAGACAGAGCATGAACGGGGGAGGGGCAGAGAGAGAGGGAGACACAGAATCGGAAACAGGCTCCAGGCTCTGAGCCATCAGCCCAGAGCCTGACGCGGGGCTCGAACTCACGGACCGCGAGATCGTGACCTGGCTGAAGTTGGACGCTTAACCGACTGCGCCACCCAGGCGCCCCGGGACTTTTAATTTTTTAAAGCTACTTCTATGTAGTGTGTAACTCTCTTCAGGGCAGGGATTTTATTTTCTAATAATAAGTGTAACTATAAAGTGGTATGCATTAGAGTTTATAAAATACTTTCATAAGCATTATTCAGTAATATAAATGAGATGACTGTAAAGTCTCAGCTCAAGTGTTTCCTCCATAGAGTATCTGTCCATAACTTTGCCATCTAAGATAGTTCCCAGCCTCTATCACATTATTTTGTTTCCTTCAAATGCTTACCACTCATTACCTTATTTATTTGGTTATGTGTTAATTGTGCCTCATGATGCACCAGAATGTAAATTCCATGAGAGCAGGGACCTCCTGCCTTATCCCAGCACTGAGAATACTGCCTGGCACGTAGAGGAATACTCAAACATCAGTTGAATAAAGAATTGAAATCATTCTGTAAAGTATAAAACATTATATTTATAAAACATTACATTATAATGTTAATCTTCACAGTAATCCTTGATCCCAGTAACAAATTAGATTTTCCTGTTCTGCATCCTCAAGGCAACCTGTACTACCTCATTAACTTACATTTATCATAATTGTACCAGTTTATTTGTGTTATTATTTATTTAATGTCTCTACTTAATATTTCTAAACTGCAAGCTCCATGTATTTAGGAATCATGTATATCATGTTCCTCTTATATTTAACGTAGTGCTTTTGTACTTGGAAGGAGTTTAATAAATATTTACTGAATGAATGAGTGGGTGTACAATCTTGCATGATAGACATTATCTCTGTCTTTCAGATGAATAAACTGATACTTAGAAGGATTAAGTAACTTATCTAAGATAATTAGAGAAATAAGACTTTATCCAGCATCTTCTGACTCTCAATATTGCATTCTTTTAACTCCACCAATAATTTCTAGACACAGATGTGAATCAGAATTACTTAGGGAGCCTTTGAAAATACAGATTTTCAGACCACACTCAAAGCCTGCTGAATGAGAACCTCTGAGGATGGGGCCCAGAACGCTATTTAAAGAAATGAGAAAAATTCTTTAGGAGATTCTGATGATAAGTAACATTTGGGAATCAGTGCTATATGCCAGGGCAAACTACTGTTTGGGGGCAGATCCAGCCCACTGCGTATTTCTGTATATAAAGTTTTAGTGGAACACAGCCATGTTCATTTATGTGCGTATTGTCTCTGGCGGGTTTCAGGCTACAGTGCAGAGTTGAGTATTTGTGACAGAGACTGGATGACCCACAAACCATAACATTTTACTGTCTGGTCCTTTACAGAGAGTTTGCCAACCCCTCCCTGATGTATACCTTGCTGCCTGTCCCGTTTTTGTATGTGTGGTTATTTCAGTTGTTTGGAGATACAGTAGATATGACATTTGGCTCCATTATGGGCATTACAGTAGGTGCTCAAACATTCTTCCTGAGTCCATAAAAATTAACGCAATTTACTGAAATTATGAGACTAAGTCTCAGATAGCCTAAGCAGTCAAATTTAAGAAAAATATTAATCTAGGTATGGTTCAATTCAGTCAACCCTCACAGTGGGTGGACTGCTTTTAAAAAAGAGATTCCAGGGCGCCTGGGTGGCACAGTCGGTTCAGTGTGTAACTTCAGCTTAGGTCATAATCTCGTGCTTCATGAGTTCAAGCCCCACATCAGGCTCTGTGCTGATAGCTCAAAACCTGGAGCCTGCTTCGAATTCTGTGTCTCCCTCTCTGTCTGCCCCTCCCCCACTCACATTCTGTCTCTCTCAAAAAGAAATTTTAAAAAATTTTTAATAAATAATAAAAAAAAATAAAAAAGAGATTCCAGGGGTGCCTGGGTGGCTCAGTTGGTTAAGCGTCTGACTCTTTGTTTCAGAGGTCTCATGGTTTGTGAGTTTGAGTCCCACCTCTGGCTCTGTGCTGACAGTGTGGAGCCTGCTTGAGATTCTCCCTCTCTCTCTCTCTCTCTCTCTGCCCCTCACCCTTCACTCTCTCTGTCTCTCAAAAATAAATAAATAAACTGAAATGTTTTTTTAAAAGACATTCCTGGGGCGCCTGGGTGGTTCAGCTGGTTAAGCATCCGACTTTGGCTCAGGTCATGATCTTCATAGTCTGTGAGTTCGAGCCCTGCATCAGGCTTTGTGCTGACAGCTCAGAGCTTGGAGCCCATTTCGGATTCTGTGTGTCTCTCTCTCTGCCCCTCCCCTGCTCAAGTTCTGTCTCTCTCTCCTTCAGAAATAAACATTAAAAAAAAAAAAGAGAGAGAGGAGATTCCTTTTCATTCAGTTGGCAATAGGGTGTTCTCTAAATGGAGAAAGATGTGAGGTTGCTTGCCTATGTAATAGGGATTGATTACCATAATTGATGTGTAATAGAGAACTGTAATTAATGCCCCAGTTATTTTGGTACCCCTGATGCTGCCATAATTTTTAAAACCAAAGTCTCTTGGATGCTTGTGGTCAAAACGCAAGCTACTACAAGCAGTTACCCAGACTGAGCAAACCTCTAGACCTGTGCTGTCTGATACAGTAGCTGTTAACCACATGTAGGAATTTATATTTAAATAAAATTAATTAAATTAAACTAATTAAAATTTAAATTCTTCTCTCACGCATTTCAAGTGTTCCGTGGTTACATGTGGCTAGCGACTTTTTTTTTTTTTTTTAACGTTTATTTATTTTTGAGACAGAGAGAGACAGAGCATGAACAGGGGAGGGTCAGAGAGAGAGAGAGAGGGAGACACAGAATCCGAAACAGGCTCCAGGCTCTGAGCTGTCAGCACAGAGCCCGACGTGGGGCTCGAACTCAAAAACCGTGAGATCATGACCTGAGCCGAGGTCGGAGGCTTAACCGACTGAGCCACCCAGGCGCCCCCGGCTAGTGGCTTTCTTATTGGACACCACAGACACAAAACATTTCTGTCATTACAGAAAGTTTTAGTGGACAGTGCTGTTGTAGATGCTGGAGTGCAAAAGTTGCAGTTCACTCAAATCCAAGACTTGCTATTTGACTTAATTCTTTATTTGTAAGAATGGAATGGTAATTTTTAATGCTTTTTTTTTCTAACAGCAAATAGCGGTGAAATGTATTCATTCCTTGCTTTAGGGACATCTCCGCTAAGAGATGAGTCTTTATTCTGATAAGCTCTTAAATCTTGATTCCAGGTAATATCCATCTCATCTACCCTGTGGACTCTGTATTCAAGATAATTAATCATTGGCCAGTTCGTGGAGTGGTTCAGAACAGACTGTGATTTCTGGCCAAATCTATTTGGCTTGCTTAAGGATGGTGGGAAAGGGACAAGTTTTAAAACAGAAACTATAAAGTCAATAGAGTATAAAGCCTTGGCATCATCTTTGAAGTGATTTAGATTTTATCATTCAGTAAATCATTTTTATTCCCAGCATCTAGTGCTTTTTGCATGGTCCAAAAGGGCCCTGTGCTGCTCCACTGCAGAGGAAACTTCAAGAAATGCTGGTTTGCTACAGTGTTTTAGCTTGTGAGAGTCTCTGGGACCTTCCCTGCACCATCATGGGGTCACCTCTAGGTGGGTATTAGGGGGAGATTGGTAATTGATTTAACCTTTAATAAAGAACTTAGTCATCTTTTGTGGTTTAATAACATATATATGTAATAGTTTGTTCCTTAAAATGTTTTCTCTGACCCTAGCAGCGTCACCTTGAAGACTGTTTCTCTAGCACAGTGTTGCTCTAAAGGCTACTTCAAGAGGCTACAAGATCCTGTAGGCCCCCTAACTCATTCATAGTTACTATCATAAGAAATGCTACCGAGGACCTACTTTTCTGTAAATTACCAGATCTTTGTCATTTTGCACCTCAGGCAGTGCAGCTGGAATGGGAGTGGGTTCGGGGTGGGTGAGAGAGAGTGAGAATTCAAGTATAATCTCACTCATTCTGGTTTTTCCTACCATCAGATCATCTTACCGTATGTCTGTCCTTCATTCTTTCTGAGCTGAGATGGTGGGATCCGACCATATTGAGTGTTAAAAGCTATTATTTGATGGCATTAAGGTACCTCTTCAGGAGTCAGGTTGTTCAGAAGGAATCTCCTCACCCATTTTCTATGTCTTCTATTCTGTTTTCCAAGAGCTTCCTGGACGCTTCTGTGAGATACTGGTACATGTTGCTCTGGCATTTTGGATCACTTTAGGGACTAACATGTAAAACGTAGTAAGGTCATCTTTAGACCATAATTTTAATACATTGATCTAAAATGATCCACTCAGGTCACATAGATTTCTACCCGTAATACTCTCTTGAGCCCAAACAGGGAAAAATAAGTTTTTTCTTATGCTCAGAACGAGTCAAAAAATGTCCTAATGTTTAGTGTAGATTGCATCCTGAAAGCACTTTTTAGGAAGTTGACTGTGATAGAGATTTCTATTTCCTTTTCAGGTCATTTTACCTGGGACAAATACCTAAAAGAAACATGTTCAGTCCCAGCGCCTGTCCATTGCTTCAAGCAGGTAATTGATTCTCAACATCTTTAGTAGGTGGGAGGCAAGTAGGTTTGTTCTGATCCTTAGATAAGCAAAACATGAGGTAGGAGCCCTTGGACTTCTCACCTGAAGGCCCTAGAGTAAACTTCTATGGGAAGAATACAGCTCAAGGCTCAAAACTCATGAATTTTGGTAGGACACCTTCCTTCCAACATCATCCCAAGTGACACCTTTTCCTTTCTTCGCCTCCTTGAGGATATGTTTTGTTACTGAGAATAGTAGCTGGTTGTTTTTTGTTTTTTGTTTTTTAAAATAGTCCTTAATTCAGACAGAGAGGAAACAGTTATATCCCTTAGACAATTCTTGAAAGTCGGTCAGTATTCATTTCTCTATACACAGCACCCCTGCCACATATTTATAAGAATGCTGGCACTGAGTTCCATTGGAGAGTATGTTAGCACCTTATTAGAGGTCATTCAGAGCTTCCCACATAGGATTAAGTGTTGCACGCAATGCATAGATAATGTTGACTATATCAGCACATGATAGGCTGGTAAGCAAACAAGTGTACTGCTGCTAAGCAGAGCTAAACATCAGGAAATTATGTATACTTCCCTCCCTTTATTCTTCAGTGTTTATTTCCTCAAATTGTCAACATTTCACTTTGAATTTTGTCTGTGCTCTAAATAAAAATACAAATCCAGGACTTTTGCTCATTTGAAATAATAGGGACTAAATCCATACTCTCACCTGAAATAATAATAAAAGGACAGAGTATATTATATTAAACAGTGGTTTTCAAGTTACTGAAGATCAGGCAGCCAAGCACAGTGATCTCCGAGAGATGAAAAACAATGAGTTGAGCCTCTTATGATTTCCCAGCTTACTCCCTTAAGAGAGTTTTGAGACCATGGCCCAGAGAAGGGGAGCCTAGGGTAGAACCCAGCAGAATCCCTAATTTGAATGGTTGGAGCTAAGAGGGGAAACCAAGGTGGCTAGAATTTGTAGGACAGAATGCCTACGAGGAGAGAGCTGCACAGAAAGAAAACCACAGGGATCTGCAGAGAGCCCTCTTCAAGTATTCAGCAAAGTGCTGTTGTTGTTCCATGTATGCGTATGAGGAAATGACCTAAAGCCAAGAGAAAAACCATCAGATCTATAGAAGGAACAGAATCTAACACTCCCACAGGGCTGGAAATAATGCCTGATTCCACCAGTTAGACTGGAAAATCTCATAATTCATGTGGCATAAGGTGGAAAACTTGGGAAGATCTTACTCAGTAGCGGGGAATAATTAGCCTTAGAATGAGCACTTCTCTGGACCTGCCTAACACATCATAAAAGCAAGACTCAAAATGATCAAACTGTTTGCAGGTAATTTAAGTGCATCTAAGAACAAAGCACAAAAGAAGATGTGATATATGTTACATATATTATATATATTACATATATATACATAAGGGACTATTGGCATTCAAAAAGAAGAAAATCTTGCCATTTGCAACAACATGGATGGAACTAGGATGTGTTATGCTAAGCAGAATAAGTCAGTCACAGAAAATAAATATTATAAGATTTCATTCATATGTGGAATTTAAGAAACAGAATAGGTGAACACGGGAAGGGAAGGAAAAATAAGATAAAAACAGAGGAAGGCAAATCATAAGAGACTCTTAAATACAGAGAACAAACTGAGGGTTGCTGGAGGGGTGTTGGGTAGGGGGATGGGCTAAATGGGTGGTGGGCACTAAGGAGGGCACTTGTTGGGATGAGCACTGGGTGTTACATGTAAGTGATGAATCACTAAATTTGGTTCCTGAAACCATTGTTACACTGTATATTAACTAGCTTGGATATAAATTTAAAAAAAGAAAAAGAAATTAAAAAAAGAAACACAGCTGTCACTAAAAAATCATAAAAATGTATATTAAAAGAAGAACAAAGTATAATAAGGGAATGCAAAAACATCCAGCAGCCAACAGCTAAAAGTCAAAATGTCTGACATCCAGTGAAAGATTACCAAGAATGAGAAGAGGCAGGAAAACATAATCATCGTGAGCAGAATAATCAACCAATTGAAATAGACTCAAAACCTATATAGGTCTTAGAATAGCAAACAAAAACATTAAAACAATTATTTTAATTGTATTCCATGTGTTTGAAAGTTAAACAGAGACATAGAAGATATAAAAAAAAAGACTCATATTGAACTACTATGTGCGAAATGAAAAATACACTGGATGAGATTAATGACAGAAGAAAAGACCGGTAAACTTGAAGACATAGCAGTAGAAACTATCATGAAACACAATGAGAGAAAAGAATGCTCAAAAGATGAAAAAGATTATCAGTGAGCCAAAGGATAACTTCAGTTTCCATGGGATAACTTCGCAGACTATGTAATTAGAGTGCCCAAAGGAGAATAGAGATGAGGGACAGAAAAAGTACTTGAAGATACAATGGCTAAAAATTTTCCAAAACGGAGGAAAACTGTAAATCCACAGATTAAAGAAACTCTGTGAATCCCCTTCTCCCCCCCAAATCAACGACAAGAAGAAAACTGCATTAACACATGATCATAAATGCTCAAAGCTAGTGATAAAGAACATCTTAAAAGCAGCCAGAAAAGAAAGACACCTTATATACAGGGAAACTAAGACAAGAATGACATTATATGTTCTTGTCAGAAACAATGCAAACAAGAAAGTTGAGTAACATGTTTAAAGTACCAAAAGCAAAACCTGTCAATCTAGCATTCTATACCCACTAAAAAGATCTTCCAAAAACAAAAGGCAAAATATATTTTCAGACATACAAAAACCAAAAGAATTCATCACCAGAAGACTCAATACAAGAAATGTTAAAGGAAGTGTGTCAGGCAAAAGGAAAATATTACCAGGTAGAATTACAGATCTATAAAAAGGAATGAAAATCCCTGGTAATTGTAATTAGAAGGGTGGGGTGTCTGGGTGGCTCAGACAGTTGAGCGTCCGACTTCGGCTCAGGTCATGATCTTGTGGTTTGTGAGTTCGAGCGCCGTGTCAGGCTCTGTGCTGACAGCTCAGACCTTGGAGCCTGCTTTGGATTCTGTGTCTCCTTCTCTCCCTTCCCATCCTCCGCTTGTGCTCTCTCTCTGTCTCCAATAAATAAATAAATAAATGTGAAAAAAAATAATAAAAAAATTGTAATTACAAGGGTAAATACATAAGATGTAAATACATAAGGGTAAAAACATATGTTTTTTCTTATTTAAATCTCTACAAAGGGTAATTATGTAAACAGTAATAATCATATTGCATTATTGAGGTGATAACAGATGTATAAATAAAATGTATAACAAAAGCATAAATGCCCAGTAGAGGAGAAATCTTAAATATACTACTGTAAGATTCTTTTACATGAAGTAGTATACTTGAAGATAGACTGATGAGGTAAACATGTTTACTATAAAGACCAAAACAACTACTAAAATAATAGAAAATAAATAGCAGATGGTAGACTTAAATCCAACCATATCAGTAATCAAATTAATTATAAATGGTCTAAATGCCTCAGTTAAAAGGTTGAGATTGTCACATTGAAAAAAAAAAAAAACAGACCCAATTGTATACTGCTTGCAAGAAATTATACTTTAAATATAAAGACATAAACAGGTTAAAAGTAAAAGGATGGAAAATGATATACTCCGCTGACATTAGCCATAATAAAACTAAAATGACTATGTTAATATCAAAATATATCTCCGAGTAAAGAATACTACCAGGGATTTAAAAAAAAAAAAAAAAAGGCAGTTTCATCATGAAAGGGGTCAGACATTTTTATGTGAAGCAAATAGAAATGTAAGGAGAAATGAATAAATCTAAATTTATTTGTAGGTGGGAGTTCTAACACTCCCCTCTATGATTAAAGAACAAGTAGTAAGAAATCAGCAAGTGAATAGTAGACATTGGCAACACTGTCAGTGTTTGTCAGTTGGACCTAATTGACAGGTATAGAGCATCCCCAGCAACAGTAGAGTGTACATTCTTTTCAAGTGCACACAGACAGTTTACCAAGTTAGGCCATATTCTGGACCATAAAATAAGTTTTGGTAAATTTAAAAGCTGTGAGTAATATAAAGTATGCTAAGTTAAATTAAAAATTAATAGCAGAAAATCTCTAAATATTTGGAAACTAACACATTTCTAAATACCCCCTTGGGTATGGAGAAATTAAAAGGGACATTAACAAATATTTTCAACTAGGGGAGCCTGGGTGACCCAGTTGATTAAGTGTCCCACTCTTGATTTTGGCTCAGGTCATGATCTCATGGGTTGTGAGATTGAGCCCAGCATTTGGGCTCTGCACTGACAGCATGGAACCTGCTTGGATTTCTCTTCTCTCTGCCCCTCCTCCATTTGTGCTCTCTTTCCCAAAATAAATAAATAAACTTTAAACAATATTTTCAACTAAATGGAAGTGAAAATAGAACATTTCAGAGTTGTGGATTGCTGCTAAAGCAGTCCTTACAAGGAGCTTATAGTACTAAACACCAATACTAGAAAAGAAGAAAAGTTTCATTTAGTGACTTCAGCTTCCATTTTAAATAACTAGGGGGACAAAAAGAGCAAATTATCCCCAAAGTAAGCAGAGAAAAGGAAATAATAAAAATCAGAGCATAAACCAATGATATAAAAAAAAAAACAACACGAAAATCATTGAAGCCAAAAGCTGAGTCTTTGCAAAGATCAATAGAAACGATGAACTTCTAGCCAGATTAATCAAGAAGAAAAGACGACACAGATTACTAATAGCAGAACTGGAAGGAGTAACATCACTGTTGATTCTACAAATATTAAAAAGATAATAAAAGAATATTACGAACAAATTTATGCCTTTAAGTTTGATAACTTAGTTGCAATGGATATCTGAACAGCACTATTTCTGTTACAGAAGCTGAATTCGTAGTTAAGAAATTTCACACAAAGAAAACTTCAGGCCCAGATGACTTCACTGGTGAATTTTTCCAAACATTTAAGGGGAAAGTA